GTTTGTTTTAGCCAAAAAGCTAAATCCCATCAACCTCAACATAAACCAATCAACCAATATATCGCTTATCGCTTATCCTTGATCATTATTGCTTTTGTTTTCAACAGAGTCCAATGGTCAGAGGTGGAAAGGCCGATGCAAAACCCAGGGGCCGTATGACTGCATACGCATATTTTGTACAAACCTGCCGGGAGGAGCACAAAAAGAAGCATCCCGATGAAACCGTGATATTTGCCGAATTCTCGCGCAAGTGTGCCGAACGATGGAAGGTAACAAAACCCTGCTAACGAATGGAAACCCCCATGAACATATATGTTAATCAATTATTAATCCCCTCGCAAGACAATGGTGGATAAGGAGAAGAAGCGTTTCCATGAAATGGCCGAAAAGGACAAGCAGCGGTACGAGGCAGAAATGCAAAACTATGTCCCACCCAAGGGCACTGTTGTCGGACGTGGCAAGAAGAGGAAACAGATCAAGGACCCCAATGCACCGAAACGTTCATTGTGAGTTCGTAGCAAAAAGCAATTTAATATCCTTTATACACATAAAAATCAACTCGAAAAACACCCAAATAGATCATGTATAATAATCAAAATCCATATCTTTCATAGGTCTGCGTTCTTCTGGTTCTGCAATGATGAAAGAAACAAGGTGAAGGCTCTGAATCCTGAATACGGTGTTGGCGACATTGCCAAAGAGCTGGGACGAAAGTGGTCCGATGTTGATCCCGAGGTCAAACAGAAGTACGAGTCGATGGCCGAAAGAGACAAGGCTCGCTACGAACGGGTATGTACCGCAAAACCAACAAAAAAACGAAAAAATTGGCAGCATTTCAGGAGGAACCTTACTCATGCTTGGGTTGTTTTTGCAGGAAATGACCGAATACAAGACAAGCGGGAAGATAGCCATGTCCGCACCATCGATGCAAGCGTCGATGCAGGCGCAGGCACAGAAGGCCGCGTTACTGGCAGCCGCCGTGCAGCAGCAGCAACAGCATCAGCTGGACGAGCAGCATGATGACGATGACGGCGATGGTGATGATGATGAGAACCAATAGGAGGTCTAGCCTAGTAATACTCTTCACTATTTATACACACTACTATCGTTGGGTCTGCGCTGTCTCATCGTGTGAGACGGCCGAGTGGGAGAGAGAGAGAGCGAGAGCAGAGAGCAGAGGATAACGAGAAACATGAACAATATATATCGTCGGGGGGTGAAAAGTTTGATCTATTATCAGGTTAAGCCCCAACCAACCAACCGATCGATCGATGAATGTGTGTTGAACATAAATATATATATATGCATATATATATATATATATATATATAAATATGAAAGTAATGCATAGTTTTTTTTTTTTTTGTAACACTAAGTAATCAAATTTCCATGAATTAATTGAAGGAGAAACAAAATCACAAAGAAACCTTTTATAAGTTCGTATGTTATAAGATGAATATGATTAAGTAATGGTTAGATTAAAACCCGACATTCAATCTGTGTGTGTCCTGCAAAAAACAAACAACAACCTTATTTGTGCTAAGTTTTCTCCTAAAAACAAAAACAAAAACACTCAAGAGAAAAATCAATCAATCAATCAAATCAGCCACAAACAACTCTCGATCATGATTATCATCCATATTGTCATTTCATTATCTCTGTCAGTATGAAGAAGAAGAAAAAGGAGTTATAAATATTGGTAATCCATGCCCCTTCCGCCCCATTTATTAAAGTTAGATTTCATCATAATGGAAGCCCCAACCCAACCCAATGCGTTTACTCACAAGACGTGATAAAAAAAACAAAACATAAAAATACTTAACTCAGTGGCGGGTGATATCTCTTCAAAAAAATATCTGTCTCTCTATATATAAAGTATAGTATGTATCATAATGTGCATCATTTCGTTCGTTTTTTCCATTTCTCAATTGATATTTTTCATATATATATATATATATTTTTTATTTAAAACACACACACATTACATTTCAAAAACACCACGAAACAAATCATCCTAGGGCAGCTTTTTTGGGGGGATGCGCTTTCTTCTATATAAAAAAGGAACAAAACAAATATATATAGTTTTAATTATGATATGTAAATATAAAAGTACATTTCAAGCGCGTTGCTGGGGCATAAATAACACGTATATAAATATATATATATATATATATTAATATACGAGATGCGTCTTAGGTTGTTAAACACGTACATATATTGATGAGATGTGATGGGAGACACGCGGGGGAGACGCAAAAAATGGACATTGTTGACTTCTTGGCCATGTACATACTATTGAAGTATTATTTAGACGAGACTATCTAGCAGTTAACGGAGTTGCAGCAGCAGCAGCGGCGGCAGCAGATCTGACAAGAATCTAAGAGTATACATAATACCATATAAGAAAAAAAAAACAGAGGGTGGCTAAACAAAAAAAGTAAAAGTATTCTCAGAGTGTGTTTTTTGTAGAGTTAAGGCTGTAAGTAAAAGGATATTTTTACACCCAGCCTTAAATACAAAACTCCAGTTCCAGACCAGAAGACAAGAGACGGACAGATATATAGCGAAGGAGGAACGGAGGGGAATATAGATGCCTCTGCCCCCACCCCCATGGAGGAGGAGCTCTGGCAAATGCTTAACAAAAAGTGACTGCTCGACCGTCTCCTCCACGGGCCAGAGGTACAACTGTACTCCGTGCGCACGGATAGTGGATGATAGTGTGTGTATAGGCTAAGAGATACCGAGTAATTAATAGGTTTATAACGTGATTAGAGGTGGATTAGTGTAGGAGTAGCTAATCCCATGTACAGACCAGACACCGAAGACATATTGGTTGGCGCTGCATTGAGACTCGCAGTAACTTTCCCCCTCTCCCCACGTTATATTATTATGAGGCGAGACAATGTATATGTATATCTATGTATATATATTTTAGCATCATTTTTGCTAGAGAATAACTCGCCACCGAGATTATATCCATAGAGAGAGAGAGAGAGAGAGAGCAGAAGGAGCTCTGAAATGAAGAAGTGTCTAGGCTATACACCACCTTTTTTAAGTTGTAATTTTCTACGAGAGATCGAGATCTACGACAATGATAATGATGACGAACGATGAGCGACGGCAAAAAAACTCCTCAACAAAAACATAAATTATGACGATGAAAAAAATTCCAGTTCCCTGTGCGCTTGTTATAAGAAAAAAAAAAAAAACAACTAAACTATTATAAAAATAAACTTTTAGAAAAGAGATTCTTGTAGATGAAAATGATTGTGTTCTCCAAAAAAAAAAAGAAAAAAAAAGAATATTTGTCTTTATTATTCCTCCCCGTTTTTCCACCAATTTTTGTTTAAACAGAAACAGCAGTCCCAGAGAATGCGAGATCAAGAGAGGGAGATGTCATCTAGTATCATATACTACATTGAAGACACTCGGAAGAATCCAAGTCAAATGAAATCAAATCACAGACATTGAGCGAGTTCCTGAATTAAAAAAAAAAAAAAAGAAACAAAACCTGTATGGTGTGGTGTTTTGGTGTGTGTGACATTACGTTTAGCGATACTACATATATCTATATAGTAGCTAATAAGAGGTTTTTTTTTATTGAAAACATACATATATTTTTTTCTATGAACTTCCTGTAAAAATAGTTGAAAATAAATATAATTTAGCTAGATGTACGCTTATGAAGGCAAACTGTTGGAGAAGTTTCCTTGTGGATTGTGTTGTCTGTTTTCTGCCTGGCCGCTGGCTGCTGCTGATGCGTCCTTAAGCTTTAGGAGTATGATTCCTTTGAATCCTATCCCTGCCTGGAGTCAGGGCAAGTCTTCCTTCCGTCCGTGCAAGTTAGAGGCCACCCATATCGCTAATAGCTATTAGTCGGACTAGTCGTAGGTAAGACGTGCGTAAGAATGCATTCATTGTAGACTTTTTGGCAAATACAATTACTACAAACAGTATAACAAATTGTTTGTTTCGATTCGTGATTTGATTTACGGGCTGAGAGTCATGCTTGGATATGCTTGTGGGCAAAGACATACATACAAAGACATTTCTGTGGTAGCGTCTTTGATTCGTGGGGGAATGTACATATATAATTATCTGGTTCTTGGAAAATGGTAAGTAGTATGGCATATGAAATCTTTTTATATCTATCTTCATATAAATATCATATAATATTTATATAGTATATGGGTTTACAGTTACTAGCTAGTTAAGGTTCAAATATGAAATTGAAAGAATTTTGTGGAGCTTCGCAAAATGTCCAATATTTGGTTCGGTTTATCTGAATTTCGAGCAAAGGCAAATACAAAAATACCCGATGTGATTTCGTAAAGAAATTTTGTGATTTCTGCCAGGCCGGTGACTATTTGTACACACATAGGAGTAGATCCGAATATTATCATTATTTGAACTTAAAACCTGGTAGCGTGAAAAATCATTTTTGTATTTTTGTAACCGAAAAAATTATGCACTAAATATAGTCGTACAGCAGAGTTAATTTATATTATTCGCCCCAATTCTGGAATACGGTAAGAGTTTAAGAGACTGAAATCAACATTTATTTGTCAATTTAAAGCCGTTTCTTTTCGTTGATACAGTATATGGCTATTTGTTTGTTTATTAATTAATCTATTCTGCTAAAATCATCATATTTACATGAAAACAGTTTTTAGCAAACATTCAACAACATTTTGCTCGTGTTTGGAATACTCGGCAGTACTGCACTGCTGTAAATTAATTGGAGAACACATTTTTTTAAATTTATTATTGGCTCACGTACAATATTTTGTGTAGGTGTAGGTTTCATCTTTCGCTATTTAATTAACTTTTTGGTTTGCTAAGCTCACAATGTTTTCCTGCATTGCATTTTTTTACGGCACTATTTAACAGTAATTAGGGCTGGCCATTTTTGAGTTGGCGCGCTTCGATAGTTTTCGATAGGCACAAGGAGTTTTTTTATACAGTTATTGAAAACTATCGGAGTATGCATTTGCGTTGTTGTTGAAAAATCTAGAAGTGAAGCTCAATCTGTCGTCTCGCCCTAGACAATATTTGTCGTTGACTAAGAAAACTACTTATATTTTTTGTTGTGCCAAATAATAAAGCAATTCGTCGATTAAAAATGACGCCCAATATCAAGGCCCAGGCCAAAGCAGAAGCAGTGGTAACCGTCGATTCAAAGATGCAAGTGAATGCAGGAACAGGAGCAGGAGGAGATGCAGGCGAGGTGCCATTCGCCACCTCCAATGGTGTGCTCTTCGAGGGAGATGAAGGTAACCAGAGCTTCCAGAAGTGTGCCGACGGGCGCAAAGTGAAGCTAGTGTGGCGCAATATCCTGGCCTTTGGTTACTTGCATTTGGCCGCCATCTATGGGCTCTATCTTTTGGTTACTTCGGCCAAATGGGCGACAATTGGTTTCGCATTCGTCCTTTATGTGTGCTCTGGACTTGGCATCACTGCTGGCGCCCACCGTCTGTGGGCCCACTGCTCGTACAAGGCCAAGTGGCAGTTGCGCTTGATGTTGGTCATCTTCAATACGATTGCGTTCCAGGATGCCGCCTATCACTGGGCCCGTGACCATCGCGTCCACCACAAGTTCTCGGAGACGGATGCCGATCCCCATAATGCCACGCGTGGCTTCTTCTTTTCGCACATTGGATGGCTGCTGTGCAAGAAACACCCGGAGGTAAAGGCCAAGGGCCAGGGCATAGACCTATCCGATTTACGTGCCGATCCCATACTGATGTTCCAGAAGCGGTGAGTGGCGACCCCATACCAAGAGTCGGTGCCCATGTCTTTATCCAAGCTTATTTCGCAGCTATTATCTGTACCTGATGCCGTTTGCCTGCTTTGTGCTGCCCACCATGATACCGATTTACTTTTGGGATGAGTCGATTATGAATGCTTGGTTTGTGGCCACCATGTTCCGTTGGTGCTTCATCTTGAATGTAACCTGGCTCGTCAACAGTGCTGCCCACAAGTTTGGTGGACGCCCATATGACCGGTACGTCGTCTAAACTGATCTATCTAGCCCTAGCCTAGCGGGAGCTTCTAATACTTAACTTTTCTTTGCTCAGATTCATCAGCCCTACTCAGAACATATCCGTCGCTGTTTTGGCCTTTGGCGAGGGCTGGCACAACTATCATCATGTGTTCCCATGGGACTACAAGACGGCTGAACTTGGCTTTTACTCCCTCAACTTTACCACATTCTTTATTGACTGCTTTTCGAAGATTGGCTGGGCCTATGACCTGAAGACCGTATCACCGGCCATTATCGAGAAGCGTGTGAAGCGCACTGGCGACGGCACTCACCCCACTTGGGGCTGGGGCGACAAGGATCAGCCAAAGGAGGAAATCGAGGAGGCGCTTATTATGCACAGGAAGCAAGATTAAGCAAACGACAAAAATAGCAACAAAAATACAAACAAAAGGCATTCAATGCTAATAATGAGCGGCTTTAGCCGGCAAATACCTACAAACTACAAAAGAATTTAAACACAAAGACACTTTTCCAGGCACCTGTTACAAAACAAATGGTTGCAGATTTTTGTTTTTATTTTTGTTATCTAATTTTATTAATTAATATTTACACAGAACATACAGACACAAAATAACAAATATTTTTGAAATTCTTGATGTTTCTAAACGTAAAGGAATTATATATATACATATACATATATCTGGTTATGAAATGCATATACCCATACAAAGGCTTATTATTATATGTATTATAAATGAATGGCGACATTTTGGTCCGAATTGAATTGCAGTAAGTTCCATATTTAAAATTAAAATTCAAATTCAACCGCTTCCACGTTTTGCAGCACTGATGAAAATGAACCAATCGACATTTACCATTAATAGATTTATCAAAACTCGGCAAAAATTAAGCTAAATGCAATTAACTATACGAATTATAAATTAATATATTAGCCGGTAAGCCCGTTGTATATATATATATATATATATATTTGGCAGGCATGCGCTGTTGCTTCGTATTCGATTATCATATCCGACGTTAGTGGCTGGTCTATCGAATAGTGTAGTTTATGGCTGAAAAGAGAAATAAGTAAATTTGATATTCAACAAGTAGTGCAATTGCCACCGAGGGCGACCAATTACAGTATATTACTTACTTTTTGCTATGTTTTGAAGTCGAAATTGCGGTATTATAATGTTATTTATCATGAATCTATTAAATTTGCATTCATATCCTTTTCACTTATTCACTTTCAAACAATTTCCATTTGGCGCGCAGCTTTCGTATCCACGCGATAGTGTCGATAGCCGTTGTTATCTTGTGGTGGGAATTTCCCTGCAACAATGAGACTTATTCCATACACTTACGTTTTTTACCGTTGGCAACATCCGATTTGTATGCACCAAATTCTGCATACCCTGGGGAAAAAGGAAATTATAGAATTGAGAAAATGTTTGTCATCTCAGGCTCCAATGCATGAAGAAACTTGTCAGTTTTTGTTTTAAAGCTATTTCAACGATATTTTCCAGTTGTCTTGCAGTGCAGTGGTCTTCTTACAGAGACCAAAATCGATTTATATAAATACACAGTAACAGATCATATACCAATCATATGAAGGATAGGATGGAGCTTCAAACGTAATTTGTATTATTATTTTTTGAAATATTTTCGGCAGTTGAACTTAAATTGTTATCCAGTTAAAATAAAGGGGGCTTAAGTGGGCTAAGTTCGTTTTTTCATCGGTGCATGGAAATGAGACGGTATATTTTGGTATATTTCTGAGGGAAAGACCGATAAGTACTCTCTCCTGTGACAAAAAAATAAGACTAATAATTTTGAATGGGCTATAAAAGAGGGTATAGACAACAGGCAAAAACAGTACTTTCGTTAGTAGATAATCTTATCTGTTAGTGGGGTTTCCTCTGAATTAATTCAATTGAGGGGCCTTTGCAACATTCAACATGGCCAGCAACATTTGGAAGCGTGTAGCTTTGTTGCTCGTATTTTATCCACAAGTGTCGTTTTCGTTTGTGTCGTTCGTGTACACAAAGGCCAAATATACTGCATTGGTATATATGTAAACACTGCGGTCACACTTTTTACCTTACCTTGCCATGTTGCCTGTTGTCACCACCCTCTTTTTCCTTCCATTATGTAGCAAATGTGTAGTAGCCGTGTAGAGTTTGTGATTTTTTATGAAATTCAACAAGTAGGCAATTGCACTTGCACTTGCAATTGCAAATGCCACCGAGGGCGACCACCCACCACCCACAGCACAAACGTGAACGTTTAGCCAGTCAGCAAGTCAGCCAGTCGTATAGTCGTATGGTTTAGGCTGTGGAAAAACATCCGGAGTCCGGAGACCGTGTGTGCATATACATATTGTAAATGCAAACGTGCGTGTGGCAGATCTGATTTACATTTCGGAAGCAGAAGCAGCAGTGGCAGGTAACAGAAAACAACGATACGATGAGCTGCTTCAGTGCAATGAACGCCCCGCTGCTGGGTGAAATGGAGCAGACCATTGGCATGCTGGAGCGCGGTACAATTGTGACGAAGCTGTACGGCAAGCAAAGGCGTCCGGATCGTCGCCATCTAATGCTTATCAGGGAAACGCGTCAGCTGCTATGGTCGACAGTGGCCGCCCAAACGCCCCGGACCGACTTTGAGGGTGCGATACAGCTCCGCGAGATCCGTGAGATACGTGTGGGCAAGCACTCGAAGGAGTTCCGGCTCTTCGCCGACGATTGCCAGCGCTACGAGAACAGCAAATGCTTTGTCATCTTGTATGGCAATCACTTCAAGCTGAAGAGCTTCTCGGTGGTGGCCCTATCGGAGATCGAGGCCGACAATTGGGTGCGTGGGCTCCGCTATATGGTTAAGGACACAGTGAACGCTTCGTATCCGCTGCAGATCGATCGCTGGCTGCGACGCGAATACTATCAGATCGAGAATGTCAATTCGCATTCGGCCAAATCGTCGGAACAATCCCAGACGCAGGTGACCATCAAGGACTTTAAGATGTTCCTGGCCAGCGTCAGTTGCAAAATGACCACCAGCAAATTCATGGAGTGCTTCACCGACGATGTCCGACGAAAGCATGACCTCAAGTTTGATGACTTTTCGCGTCTCTATCAGAAGCTCCTACTGCCGCATAGTTTCGCCAACATTCTGTGTGGGGGAACAGCCGCATCGAGTGCCTTTCCCTACTCGGAGGATCAGCAGACAGTGCGTCCCACAGAGCTGAAGCGTTTTCTGGAAACAGAACAGCGTGATCTGAACGTGGGCGAGCTCAATTCCGGGTCCATATCCGGCTTCATACGTGACTTTGTGCAGGATGTGGAGCGCGATGTACAGGAACCCTATCTGACGCTGTCGGAGTTCGTCGACTACCTCTTCTCGAAGCAGAACGACCTGTGGAACAGCAAATACGATTCCATCTTCATGGACATGAACATGCCGCTCTCCTCATACTGGATAGCATCGTCACACAACACCTATCTGACGGGCGATCAATTCTCCAGCGAATCATCGTGCGAGGCCTATGCCCGGGCCCTGCGCATGGGCTGTCGCTGCATTGAGCTCGACTGTTGGAATGGCCCCGATAACTTACCCTACATATTCCATGGTCACACAATGACATCCAAAATCAAGTTCATGGATGTTGTAAAGACCATCAAGGATCATGCCTTCACCACCTCCGAGTATCCCGTCATTCTGTCCATCGAACAGAATTGCTCTTTAGAGCAGCAACGAAATATGGCACAGGCGTTAATTGAGGTACAATATGGGTGATGATTCCTTGGGTGATTCATTAGCTAATTGGTTTCCCCTTTTCTTTTTTCGTTAGGTCTTTGGCGATATGCTGCTCACGCAGCCATGTGATCGGAACGAACAGCATTTGCCCTCCCCCTACCAGCTCCGCCGCAAGATAATTCTAAAGCACAAGAAGCTGCCGCAATACGATGAGACGACATTCAGCGGCGTGGGCATAAGTAACGGTGGCATAGCAGCCGCCGCTGCTGGTGGCGGCGGCGGCTCATCGCTTACCCATCGATCATCGTTGAGCGGTGGCGGTGGCGAAAATGAGGGTGAAAATATGCGCAAGGTATTCAAAGAGGGGCTGCTGTACTTCAAGGATCCCGTGGACAAGTCCTGGAATCTCTATCAGTTTGTGTTGACCCAACAAGAGCTCATCTACACCTCTGAAATCAGTGAATCACATCGGAATGGAACCTCAGAAGATGACGACTTTGGTCTGTCGTCGTCCTGTTCTTTGAACAACACAATGCAACAGAAACAGAAGGATACCTCGGCCAACGATGAGCTGCATTTTGGCGAAAACTGGTTTCATGGCAAATTGGAAGGTAAACAGAACATATTCTCTACAGGAGCTAGTATCTGGTATCTGGTATCTGGTCTGGTACCGCTGTCCGGCCAATCGATCGATTGATATCACCAAAACCAAACCATTATCTATGGGACGGAACGGGCTTTGCCATAAAGATTGCTTAATAATTACAGCTGCCGGGCCATGCAAGTGACATATTTATTGGTATCTGTGCTCTCGTATCTGCCTATCTGTTATCCCATATCTGCGTTGCGATACGGGATATCCACTTTAAAAAGTGCCCCATAATGTACCTTCTGCCCTTTGTTCGCCAAGCACTCAAAGAGTATGTATATGGGGTATATTAGATTCTCTCTCACATACTCTACTGGCGGAGTAACGCCCAGATGATAACTCGTTGGTTGGAAGAGCAAGAGAGATACATCGAATGGATGGTGATTCCTTAGTGCAAATGTATAGATAGAGATATTTATTGGGTAAAAAGATAATAGTAATAATATTACACATACACTACCCGAGCAAAGCGTATAAGTAGTGTATTAGAACCGGTTTCAACTGGTTTCATCATATAATTTGGTATTCATTTTCTCTCACCTTTTAATTATTTTCAAAATAATATTTTCCCATTCCATTAAATGATGATGATTACATTACAATTTTGCTGTTGTTCCAGGTGGCCGCAAAGAAGCCGACGACCTGCTGCAAAAGTATAAACATCTTGGTGATGGAACATTTTTGGTGCGCGAATCGGCCACATTTGTGGGCGACTATAGCCTCTCGTTTTGGCGTCGGAATCGACCGAATCACTGTCGCATCAAATTAAAGCACGAGAGCGGCTCCATCCGCTACTATTTGGTCGAGAATTTCATATTCGATTCGCTGTATTCGCTGATTGTTTACTATCGCAAGAATATGCTGCGCAGCTCGGAGTTTTCGATAATACTTAAAGAGCCAGTGCCGCAGCCGAAGAAGCATGAGGACCAGGACTGGTTCCATCCAAACACCACCAAGGAGCAGGCCGAGCAGGGGCTGTTCAAGCTGGATATTGGTTCGTTTTTGGTACGCCCCTCTGTGCAGAGCATCAATGCTTTTGTCATTTCGTTCACGATCAATCGAAAGATCAAACACTGTCGGATTATCCAAGAGGGACGACTGTATGCCATCGATACGATGCAGTTTGAGTCGTTGGTGTCGCTCATCCATTATTATACGAGAAATCCGTTGTATCGCAATGTGAAGCTCTGCCATCCTGTGTCCCAGGATCTGCTGCGACAGGCACTGGCGGAGAATGCACAGCAGGGCACAGATCACAGCAACGATGGCAACGGGGCTTCGAATTATATGGGCTCCAATCTGGAGGAGCATGTCACCTGCAAGGCTCTGTACAGCTACAAGGCCAACAAACCGGATGAGCTGTCCTTTCCCAAGCACGCCATCATCACGAATGTCCAAAGAAACAACACCATGTGGTGGATAGGGGACTATGGCGGCATGATAAAGAAGCATTTGCCAGCCAACTACGTAAAGGTGAGGAGCTAAATGGATTAATGCTTAATTTAAATATATATATACATTGCCCCTCCTGTTTAGGTGATTGATGCCGCCACAGAGGATTACAATTCGGTGAATGAGGAGGGCACTGACGGCCGAACCGATTCGATTGAGATCTATGGGGCCGTGGCCTCGCTCTTCGAATCAAATGAGCCTGGCATCATATTCAAGCTGCAGATACAAACACCAACGATGCAAAATCCGTTTGTGATCGGGTTTGACAATCAGGAGACGGCCTACGAGTGGATAAAGGCCATCCAGGAGGCGGCCTTAATCGCTAGTCAACTGGCCACTGAGCGGCGCAAAAAAGAGCGCACGGCGCGCGTGGCCAAGGAAATGTCCGATCTGATAATATATTTCCGGAGTGTACCATTTCGTGAGCACTCCTGGATTTTCCAGGAGATGTCCAGTTTTCCCGAAACGAAGGCCGAAAAGCAGTTCTTCCAACAGAATACGCAGCTCTTTCTCTCGTATCATCGAAACCAAATCAGTCGGGTGTATCCCAAGGGGCAGCGCCTGGACTCGTCAAACTTCAATCCCGTGCCTTTCTGGAATATTGGATCTCAGATGATAGCCCTCAACTATCAGACGGGCGACAAGGCCATGCAATTGAATCAGGCCAAATTCCGGAATAATGGCCAATGTGGCTATATACTGAAGCCGTCGTTCATGAAGGCCGAAAGTTTCAATCCAAACAACCCGCTGTCCGATGGCCTCAATGAAGTGCGTGTCAGCATACGCCTGATAGCGGCACGGCATCTGTTTCGCGGCGGTAAATCCAATAATCCACAAATCGTGGTGGAAATCATGGGCGCCAGCTTCGATACTGGGATCAAATATCGCACCAAAGTCAATGAGAATGGCTTCAATCCGGTGTGGAATGAGGCCTGCGAGTTTACCGTACGCAATCCACAGTTTGCGATCCTTCGGTTCGAAGTCCAGGACGAGGATATGTTTGCAGAGACACATTTCATAGCGCAGGCCTGCTATCCATTGACCTGTGTGCGCCAGGGCTATCGCAGTGTAATCTTGAGGAACAAATTCAGCGAGGAACTGGAACTATCCTCATTGCTGGTCAACATAAAGATAACAAATATCACTTCCACTTAGCCATAGAGTCCTCCTGAAGTACCCCAAAAGTATCTGAAACGCACGCACCACAACTGAACAAAACTTAAAGGGCATTCCATTTGATAAGTTCTGGAACAAAACCCATTTGAAATTTCAAGCATTCAAGCATTTAATGAAAGAGTAGAAGTCTTCTCCACTCTCCCACATATTTCTAAAGCGGCAGAGCCCCGTGCAATATATTTTATTCTATGTCTACTTACCACATACTAAAACCATAGATAGATCTACTTTTATCTGTGTTTTAGTCAAGCATTTTTCAAGTATTTTCTAGTTGTACTTTAAGTTATTGTCTATGTACCATTTTCGCCTCTCTGTTTCTATGTCGTATGTCTATTTTTTAACTGGTTAACGAATGTCTCATATGCATATCATATCATATCATATCAGAAACATATACATATACCTACGGTGTACCCGTACAAACCAAACGAAACCCCCTTTACCTATACTGTTTAATGTTTTACATTATTTTAATGCCAAATAAAGATTTACCGGCGTTAGATGTGCCTTAACTTTACAAGCGACTTTCATCGTAACTTAATCGCACGTAACTTTTTAAAAACTATTATTCATGTTTAAACATATTGGATAGTCATCAGTCATCAATTTCAAATACATTTTCATTTGACAGCTGTTTTAAGATCTTTTGCATGGCATTTTTTTCTGATAAATTAATATATATTCTTTACGATTGGCTAAGTACCGATTTCCATTTGGGGCATCGTGCCATGCTTCAAATGGAGCTTCCACATTCTTTATAACTACATACAACTATATCCTTGGTTTACTTTAATGTTTGGGGGAAAACCTTACAAAAAGTGGTTAAAGCTTGGAATAAAATTACACATATACAAATTAGCCAATCTTTTAGGAAATATATTAGTTTTGTATTAAAAAGATCAAGTTATTAGCAAGATTTGGGCAAGAATGTTCAGCCCTTTGCCTAACCAATGGACTCTTATACATATACTTAGAAAGATAAGATTATGGATATTTTGAGAGCTGTATGAAATCCATTCCACTTATGATAGATTCTACTCCTATGTACATTATAATGCCATCGGATTCTGGTACAGTCCGTGATGACAATAGTCAAGTGCAATACCTCTATAAGAAAGACGATGAATATCCATGCACACTATTTCTATGTACATCATTATATCATAGACTACCTCTGGGTACAGTTTCCCACCACCACTATTTCCACTATTTTCCCTCAGTTTCATGGCAGTAGCAACCGACCCGACAATCTCTTTCTATTTCATGAAATATATTATTTTTTTATTTCCTCTGCGAAATTAAAGTTAAAATCGAAATCTGCAGGGCAGGGAAGCAAGGTTTCTTGAGGTTATACTTTACAGGTAATAATAGCCTGTGAGATATCCCCTCAACGTTGGAATGCTTTCGCATTAGAGCTCATCCAGGATAAGAAATTTCTTGTTCCACACTGGCTTTCCAGTGTTTGTTTATCTCATTCTCCCTCTCCCATTTTTGTGAGTCCAACTCTTTAACCAACTCTTTAACATTCTTTCCTTCGGTCCTGCCTAAGCTCTCTTATTGCTCTTCTATTGTCCGAGAGAATCCTGTCTGTCCCTTTAACATGGCCAACCCTGGGCCTGTACCACAAAATCGGGCCAACAGTATCAAAGTAAATACAAAAAGAGAAAAACAAAACATTTTTTTTTAGTGAGACACACGTCGGGTCATACATTGTTGTTGTTTATTATGTGTAATTTTATTGAACATCGGTGAATGTGAGAAATATGATTTAGTGTTAGTTTTTTTGTTTGTTTTTTTTTTGTAGTTTTTATCTAAAATTCGCGTCTATGGTATTTGTCAGGATCAAAGTATGAAGTAACAACGACGCGATCGCTGAACTTGCGTCCGGTAAGGGCCTGTTGTGCCTTTTGACAATCGAGGACCGAATTGAATTCGACAAAAACTTTGCCACATCCGGGTACCTCAACGCCCTCGATGGGCCGTGGTATTTCGACACTTCGCACCACACCATACTTTGTACACTCCTCCTTGATGTCCTCCAGTATGTCTTCGTATTCTTCTTCATCGCGCAGCTCGTCGGGAGTGACCATGTTAAGCAGACAAAGCACCTCTGTGGGTGGACCACTACTAACGACCGTCGACAGTCCTGGCACCTGCAGCATAACGGACTGACTAGAGTTTGAGGCATTCTGAGCGTTCTTGGCCCCAACGCTGGCACGTTGTACGATAAGTTTCTTGTCGCCCAGTTGCATACCATTTAAGCCAGCAATCGACTATAAAGAATGCGACACAAATTTCATATAGATTTCGATAGGAATATAATACACAGTAGATTGTTTCTTACCTGGTCGGTGATGCTTAGGTCTACATATTCACAGAAAGCGTACCCTTTTGATAAGCCAGTAGCAGCGTCTTTAACAAGGTTAAATGCACGTAGCTTTCCAAATGAGAGCAACAGTTCCTTAACCTTAAATAGGATAGTGTACAAGCAAGTGTAATTATTGTTGAAATTCGTGTATATCCATACTATATATCATTACTAACCTGATCGTCATTTAAATAGTTGGGCAGACCGCCAATAAATATTTTGTGGGGCGAGTCTGGTACCACCGTCGAGATAACTCCACTGGAAACTGTGAAAATGTTTCAAGTTGCAATTAAAAGTTACAATTTTATGGGTTTAGAGGAACTCACCAACAGCGGGTTTAATGGCCGGAGTATCTGTTATGCCCGGCATAGGCTGGTAATCATGCGGGCGCCTAATCTTCAGGCTTTGCCCTTTTAAATTGATGCCATCGAAAGCCATTGCTTGAGTGGTCTCGTCTATTGAACGAAACTCAAGGAAAGCGAAATTTTTGTCCAAATTTATTTGGCAAGCAAGTACTGGACTGCCGGCTGCTTGGGCCAGGCCAACTAAATGCATTTGCTGATTAAAGAACTCCATCATTTCCTCCTCGGTGACGCCAAACGGAATGTTGCCGACGTACAAGCGACGCGCCTGGCGGGTTATGGTTGAACCGACAACGGGCACGGCTGTCTGAGGAGTGTCTGGGACAACGCTGGCCGGTATCTGTCCGGAGGCCTGCATTGCTTTGTACTGCATCGGAGTAATGTGCTCAAATCCTGGTGGCGGCACATCCCAGTAGAGAGATGGCTTACGGCGCGAATTGCGGTGATGACGATGGTCCCTGGAACGCTCGCGATGGCGGTCACGAGAGCGTGAACGATGGCGACGGCGATCGCGGTCACGGTCACGTTCACGATCTACAAAAAAATATAAGAAACAAAACCGAAAAAACCCACTCATTATCATAGTAACAATGCAGTTTCGATGCACAATATTTTCTAAAAGTTTCGTACGTATGTCTGCATGTGTTTGTGCCTGCATTTCAAATACGGTATGTGAATTTATAAACACAAAACATGACTGTAGAAATATTTGCTCAACTCTTTAGATATTTTGACTCAATAAACTCTCAAGACTACCAAAAATATCACAAAATCTTAGCTAAAGGCAACAAATAGTTTGCAATTGTTATGTGCATATGTATGCGTACACACATACATATGTATGTGTACACCGGTCAAAATGATAATGCAAAAATGTACATTAAATGCATTACATTTTCACTCTGCGGCAACATTTTGTTCAATATACCATAATATGAATTGCTTTAATACAGATGAATTGCGAAATTTTGTACGATTTGCACAATATTTGTAGTTTTTTCACTGTATGTGCATATGTACGTACACTTTATTTGTGTACACTTACGCATCGAAAATAAAGTTTGTGCGCGGATATGTTCTGCTGTTTTGCAATGCGAACTTACCATCATAGCCCATTTTCGAATTTATGCAAAAAAATAAATTGCTATTTAAACAAAAACTAGTTTTACTATTTATTAATGCCGACGAAAAATGTATCCCGTCGGAAGGGGTACGTTAACACAAAAAATATATCAAGAGAAACGAAATAAAACAGAACACGTGAATATAGAAGAACAGTGGAATGAAACGTTGTAACTATCGCAGGGGTGCCTTTTCAGAGTTATCGCCAAACGAGCTACAATGGTGTAAATACAAAGTAAGGTGAGAAGGTAAATTATTCTAGCTTATTTTAATTAAAAGAGCCTACCAATGGATGGAAATTAGGTGATGTTAAATAACATTACATTTTTCGGATGTACTCAAACGCCTAAGTATTTTGTAAACTAAAATTTTTTTTATTAATTCAGAGCCGATTTTTCGATTATAATTATCTGTAAAAACATAAACATGTGTAGGGTCAAGTAAGCGACCAATTTAATAATAATTTAATAATAAAGATTAATCGATTTTACCTTTTGTTTTCATTCAATCTTCTTATGCTTGTGTTTGTGACGTCAATCAACTATTCGCAGTGGAAAGCATATGTACATTTCGTCACCTTCTCAGTAGCTCAGAGAATATATAACCAGTTGCCGGCTTGTTTGTTGTTTCTTTATTTCTAGTGGTTTTTACTTTACTGATGTTTGGTCCAGTGTTTACTTAATTCCGTTGCAAAATGAGCATCAAAATATACTTGCCCATCGATTACTTCACCCTCAAAAAACCAACTAATTTGTACGGACAAGTACAAATAAACGAGGACGTCGTATACTATGTCGTGGATGCTGTCGACTTCGACTTCAACACGGCATCGATGGAGCATGGGACAATCAGCAATTTGCGTTTCCTCGGCTCTATCCTGTGCAGTGATACCTGCGCAGAAAAACCGAACATCTACCACCAACTCGATATGCGCATATGTTTTACTTACGACAAAAAGGAGCCAAACATTTCACTGGGATACATAGGAATCACCCCAGAGCACCTCAAACAAATCAAAATAATTCTATATCACAAGAAAAAAGTGCAAGATTTGTTTGTCAATGATGAGAGTACACTGGATCAACCATCGGGAAGTGGTGGCAGCGATTGTGATTTTCTGGAGCTCTTTCGGTTGGCCCAGTCCGAAGTTGCAATTCATAAGCCCAAAAACAGGGCACTCAAGAGTGGTCTTCACCTGTTACTTCTTGTAGCCGACGCGCCCATACAGTTGTTTAAATATACTGCCGAAAATGTTTTCATTAATAACATAATGGGACACACGACTGTTTATAAGCACTTTAAAGAATGGCAATCAACCTGTAATAAAGGGTAAGAATCATTTTGTACATGACTTTTTATTTTTATTGATTTTCTATCAATTTTTTTTGTTTCGTTATAGTAATAGGATGAAAAATATTGTATTAGATCGAGTATTGGGTATACTCTTGATGGTGATAATGTTTTCATTAGTTACCTCACCGGGCGATTTCCTTATACAAATATCCCATGTAAGTTGGACGAGAAATGCACACATTTAGCAATTATCCATTTACCATTATTTTAGGGTATTATCAACCAGCTATACAGCCTGTTGAATGTTTTGGAAGGAAGTCCTATTGGTCTCAAATTGAATATACATTTAAATAATTTTTTCCTCGATTGTTTTAAATATCATATTCAATTGTGGTCCATGTTTTTGGGTACGTTTTACTATATAAATTAATTTAAATTTAAATGCATATTTAATAGTCATTCATATTCAATTTGATAGATTTGATTGAACCAATAGTACGGCAAGTTTTCCTGGCCATTGGAGTATTTGGATGCCTGGGGTTTACATTCCAGATAGCTTTACTCGCAGATTTAATATCAATTGTTTCATTGCATTCGCATTGTTTCCATATTTACACCAAAGTGTAAGTCCAGGTTGAATAAATTAAGCCTTAACTTACATATAATGGATCTCGATCTTTCTTTGAAGTCTATATAAAGTGGAAAAGAAAGGATTATCCGTACTTTGGCAAGTGGTTCGTGGGAACCGATATAATATATTAAAAGGTAGGTCTACTAAAAATATACAAAGACTGGTAAAAAGATGTTCAGATCTCAATTTATTTACATATGTTTCATTACAGGCCGTATTGAAGCTCATAATTATATGGATCGACAGCTATACCTTGCCACAATTTTTTTCTCAGCAATTTTGTTTCTTTTTCCCACTACCCTTGTGTACTATGTGGTTTTTGCCTTTGTAAGTATCTATGTTTATTAATCCATTCGGAGATCATTATTTAATTTTTTATATTTTATGAACTATAGTTAAAGTCCCTTACACATGCAACTCTGGCGATCTTTGAGTTTTTTCGTCGAAAACTTTTGTTTTTCCCGCTAGAAGTGTGCCTTAAATGGCTACGAAAGGAACTACACGAAATTGGTAAGAGGTGAACACATACTTATTTGGATCCCGTTAAGGGCTAATAATGTGTGTTAAATTTCTTACAGACTGTCTTAAAATCGAGGACGTTGCACTCCCAGCGAAGACATTTCTGCTGCATAAACATTATAAAATAAATGTTGCTGTATATAAAATTCGAGTGTGACAAATAGAAAAAAACTTTAATCTTATTTCATCTCATTACACACCAATTAAACCAATTACTCAATTTAAAAAGTGCTAAAGCGTAGCAAATGCATTCCATACGCCTAAAATTTGCAATAAATTGTAATGCCTTTGCTTAGTAGCTATCCGGATCTTGTATTTATATTGAAATATGCACATTTTTATATTCGTGTTAATTATTTTATTATTATGTTTTCGCGACATTAAATTTGCACTAGGTTCTATTGAAAAGCTTAAATCCCCGATAGTTAATGATTATGTGAGTAAAACTAAAGCCAGTTAAAGCTATTTAAATTTAAAATTCTTAATGCGACTGATGTAAAATAGATATTCGTTGGAATATGCCATAGTGATATGAATGATAAATATATACATATATAACAAATTTTGGTTTTGATAAGCCGATAATTTATGGTTCAGTGAACTAAATTAAGCGTAATTCTAGCGCAAATATGCCAACAATTAATTTTAAAAAAGAAATATTGAAATTTTAAATTGAATTTCAAACAAACGCTGTATAAATTCTGGCATCAAAAGTCTAGTAAAAGGTTATAAGTTATTGTGAAAGGTAAAAAAAAAAAAAAATTACAATACAAAATTTAATTTTGAACAAAATAAAATCAAATCAATATTCTACATTTCATAATATTATAATTCCTTTTTTTTGGTTTACATTTAAATGTTGTTTTAGTAGTCTCTTTAGTAATATGTGGAATGATTTTGTGTCTTTTCGTTAATTGGGATATTAATTAGATCGTAATAGTTTTAATGATTATCAACAAGGTTTGCGAGAGTGCGAAACCTGATAATTATTACGTGCTTCATAAATAATAAACAAATAAGCATGCCAAAGACAGCTTAAAGTTGTAAGTAAATAAATATTTTCATTGAAAAACACTTGTTTTTAGAGGATGCCAGGAAAACGATTTTTCAATAGGACCAAGATGAAATCAGTTGGCCATAAAAGAAAATATCCCGTGTCAACAAAGACTTTTCAGGGGAATATAAGGACCCCTGAGAGACATGCCAACAAAAGGTCAACATTGAGTTTATCATGCACAAAACATCTGCTTCCTCTATATTTGAAATCGCCCGGTAATATAGTCTACACAACTACATCAAAGACTGTATTTTCATCTGATGCAGAATTCCAAGCTCCACTTTTTTCATCAGCGAGGCTAGGACTAAGATTAAAAATTGAAAAAGTTTCTCAGACTGTTTCAAATGCACTAAAACTACTGCTTAGAGCAAAAGTTAGCAGCATTTATTCAGTAACTGGACCTCCTGCTGATCAGGGTCACTTGAGAAAAACATCATCGACTGAGAAATTTTACACTCTGCAACTCCAAAATTTAAACGTGGGCAAGCCTCCATCCACCCTCAGAAATAGTTTGCTCACCTTACCTTTGAACAAACTATCGTCATCGGTTAGGAGGTCGATTTGGGCAGGTCGCTTACCACCAGATTATATAAATATACCGTTACCTAATTCACAAACTCAACCAGTATATGCTACAGATAAATTGAAATCAATGACAGAACCAAAGAGCTTTTCAACTTTCACATCATCAATGGACGAAGAAAGTACACCAGAAACCAGAAACAAAAATAACAAAAAATCATTGCAATCGCCAGAAGCCCTGCCTGTATCATCGTCAACCAAAAGATTGGAAAGTTCGGGGACCAAACCAATGCCAATATCACGTTATTCGGGACAGTTCTTTCGGGCTGGGGACGAAGAAGTATCACCAAAAAAAGCATTGACCTCAACACCCCGTTCACAATCAGTTCCAACTATCACAGAGTCTACTGAGAATACATCATCCACAGCTTCGATATGGATGAGTACTATAATCGAGTACTCGGAAAATACAAATAAAAAACCCGTATCCACAACACAGACAATAATACCTTCATCAATACCACTTCCTAGCACTCCTTCATTCATACCATCGATAAACATAACTTCAGAAAAATCCTTTGCGCTACCATTCATTGGTAGCGGACCACCAGGAAGTGGCCAAACAGAAGAAACAAAACCAGTCTCAACGAACGATTTAGCTAATTTACTCAGTACTTCTGAAAAAACACGCACGGAAACGGATGCATCAATAGAGTCACTCGCATCTCTTAAAAGTTCAGCGGTTCCATTCAATACGATCGAACCACCAGAAGGTGACCAAACAGAAGTATCACCCCCAGTCTCAGTCGACTCGACAGAAAGAGGAACTCTCACGTCCGATTTAGTTCATAAACTCAGTACTCCTGAAGGAAAACGTACGGATCCCGATGCTTCAGTAGAGTCACTCGCATCTCTTAAAAGTTCAGCGCTTCCATTCGCCACGACCGAACCACCAGAAGGTGGCCAAACAGAAGTATCACCACCAGTCTTAGTCGACTCGACAGAAAGAGGAACTCTCAGGTCCGATTTAGTTCATAAACTCAGTACTCCTGAAGAAAATCTTACGGAACTGGAGTCCTCAGTAGAGTCTTTCGCTTCTCTTAAAAGTTCAGTACTACCATATACTACGACGGAGCCACCAGAAGGTGGTCAACTAGAGGGACCACCAACAGTCTCAGCGGACTCGACAGAAAAAGGACTTCTTACGTCCGATACAATTCAATTACTCACCACTTCTGAAAAGAAACATACGGAGCCGGATGCTTCAGTAGAGTCACTCCCATCTCTTAAAAGTTCAGCGCTTCCATTCACCACGATCGAACCACCAGAAGGTGGCCAAACAGAAGTATCACCCCCAGTCTCAGCCGACTCGACAGAAAGAGGAATTCTCACGTCCGATTTAATTCATACACTCAGTACTCCTGAAGAAAAACGTACGGAACCGGATGCTTCAGTAGAGTCACTCGCATCTCTTAAAAGTTCAGCGCTTCCATTCAATACGATCGAACCACCAGAAGGTGGCCAAACAGAAGTATCACCCCCAGTCTTAGTCGACTCGACAGAAAGAGGAATTCTCACGTCCGATTTAATTCATACACTCAGTACTCCTGAAGAAAAACGTACGGAACCGGATGATTCAGTAGAGTCACTCGCATCTCTTAAAAGTTCAGCGCTTCCATTCAATACGATCGAACCATCAGAAGGTGGCCAAACAGAAGAATCACCACCAGTCTTAGTCGACTCGACAGAAAGAGGAACTCTCACGTCCGATTTAGTTCATAAACTCAGTACTCCTGAAGAAAATCTTACGGAACTGGAGTCCTCAGTAGAGTCTTTCGCTTCTCTTAAAAGTTCAGTACTACCATATACTACGACGGAGCCACCAGAAGGTGGTCAACTAGAGGGACCACCAACAGTCTCAGCGGACTCGACAGAAAAAGGACTTCTTACGTCCGATACAATTCAATTACTCACCACTTCTGAAAAGAAACATACGGAGCCGGATGCTTCAGTAGAGTCACTCACATCTCTTAAAAGTTCAGCGCTTCCATTCACCTTGATCGAACCACCAGAAGGTGGCCAAACAGAAGTATCACCCCCAGTCTCAGTCGACTCGATAGAAAGAGGAACTCTCACGTCCGATTTAGTTCATAAACTCAGTACTCCTGAAGAAAATCTTACGGAACTGGAGTCCCCAGTAGAGTCTTTCGCTTCTCTTAAAAGTTCAGTACTACCATATACTACGACGGAGCCACCAGAAGGTGGTCAACTAGAGGGACCACCAACAGTCTCAGCGGACTCTACAGAAAAAGGACTTCTTACGTCCGATACAATTCAATTACTCACCACTTCTGAAGAGAAACATACGGAGCCAGATGCTTCAGTAGAGTCACTCGCATCTCTTAAAAGTTCAGCGCTTCCATTCGCCACGACCGAACCACCAGAAGGTGGCCAAACAGAAGTAACACTACCAGTCTCAGCCGACTCGACAGAAAGCGGAATTCTCGCGTCCGATTTAATTCATACACTCAGTACTCCTGAAGAAAAACGTACGGAACCGGATGCTTCAGTAGAGTCACTCGCATCTCTTAAAAGTTCAGCGCTTCCATTCAATACGATCGAACAACCAGAAGGTGGCCAAACAGAAGTATCACCCCCAGTCTCAGTCGACTCGACAGAAAGAGGAACTCTCACGTCCGATTTAGTTCATAAACTCAGTACTCCTGAAGAAAATCTTACGGAACTGGAGTCCCCAGTAGAGTCTTTCGCTTCTCTTAAAAGTTCAGTACTACCATATACTACGACGGAGCCACCAGAAGGTGGTCAACTAGAGGGACCACCAACAGTCTCAGCGGACTCGACAGAAAAAGGACTTCTTACGTCCGATATAATTCAATTACTCACCACTTCTGAAGAGGAACATACGGAGCCGGATGCTTCAGTAGAGTCACTCCCATCTCTTAAAAGTTCAGCGCTTCCATTCAATACGATCGAACCACCAGAAGGTGGCCAAACAGAAGTATCACCCCCAGTCTCAGTCGACTCGACAGAAAGAGGAACTCTCACGTCCGATTTAGTTCATAAACTCAGTACTCCTGAAGAAAATCTTACGGAACTGGAGTCCTCAGTAGAGTCTTTCGCTTCTCTTAAAAGTTCAGTAATACCATATACTACGACGGAGGCACCAGAAGGTGGTCAACTAGAGGGACCACCAACAGTCGCAGCGGACTCGACAGAAAAAGGACTTCTTACGTCCGATATAATTCAATTACTCACCACTTCTGAAGAGAAACATACGGAGTCGGATGTTTCAGCAGAGTCACTCCCATCTCTTAAAAGTTCAGCGCTTCCATTCACCACGATCGAACCACCAGAAGGTGGCCAAACAGAAGTATCACCCCCAGTCTCAGCCGACTCGACAGAAAGCGGAATTCTCACGTCCGATTTAATTCATACACTCAGTACTCCTGAAGATAAACGTACGGAACCGGATGCTTCAGTAGAGTCACTCGCATCTCTTAAAAGTTCAGCGCTTCCATTCAATACGATCGAACCACCAGAAGGTGGCCAAACAGAAGTATCACCCCCAGTCTCAGTCGACTCGACAGAAAGAGGAACTCTCACGTCCGATTTAGTTCATAAACTCAGTACTCCTGAAGAAAATCTTACGGAACTGGAGTCCTCAGTAGCGTCTTTCGCTTCTCTTAAAAGTTCAGTACTACCATATACTACGACGGAGCCACCAGAAGGTGGTCAACTAGAGGGACCACCAACAGTCTTAGCGGACTCGACAGAAAAAGGACTTCTTACGTCCGATATAATTCAATTACTCACCACTTCTGAAGAGAAACATACGGAGTCGGATTTTTCAGCAGAGTCACTCCCATCTCTTAAAAGTTCAGCGCTTCCATTCACCACGATCGAACCACCAGAAGGTGGCCAAACAGAAGTATCACCCCCAGTCTCAGCCGACTCGACAGAAAGAGGAATTCTCACGTCCGATTTAATTCATACACTCAGTACTCCTGAAGAAAAACGTACGGAAACGGATGCTTCAGTAGAGTCACTCGCATCTCTTAAAAGTTCAGCGCTTCCATTCAATACGATCGAACCACCAGAAGGTGGCCAAACAGAAGTAACACCACCAGTCTCAGTCCACTCGACAGAAAGAGGAATTCTCACGTCCGATTTAATTCATACACTCAGTACTCTTAAAGAAAAGCGTACGGAACCGGATGCTTCAGTAGACTCTCCCCCATCTCCTACAATTTTAGCGCTGCCACTCACCACGACCGAACCACCAGACGGTGGCCAATCAGAAGTATCTCTACCAGTCTCAGTCGACTCGACAGAAAGAGGAATTCTCACGTCCGATTTAATTCATACACTCAGTACTCCTGAAGAAAAACGTACGGAACCGGATACTTCAGTAGAGTCACTCGCATCTGTTAAAAGTTCAGCGCTTCCATTCACCACGATCGAACCATCAGAAGGTGTCCAAACAGAAGTATCACCACCACTCTCAGGCCACTCGACAGAAAGAGCAATTCTTACGTCCGGTTTAGTTCATACACTCAGTACTTCTGAAAAAACACGCACGGAACCGGATGCTTCAGTAGAGTCACTCGCAACTCCTACAAGTTCAGCGCTTCCATTCACCACGACCGAACCAGCAGAAGGTGGCCAGACAGAAGTAACACCACCAGTCTCAGTCCACTCGACAGAAAGAGGAATTCTCACGTCCGATTTAATTCATACACTCAGTACTCCTGAAGAAAAACGTACGGAACCGGATACTTCAGTAGAGTCACTCGCATCTGTTAAAAGTTCAGCGCTTCCATTCACCACGATCGAACCACCAGACGGTGGCCAATCAGAAGTATCACCACCAGTCTCAGTCGACTCGACAGAAAGAGGAATTCTTACATCCGATTTAATTGAAACCCTCAGTACTCCTGAACAAAAACGTACGGAACCGGATGCTTCAATAGAGTCACTCGCAACTCTTAAAAGTTCAGCACTTCCATTCACCACGACCGAACCACCAGAAGGTGGCCAAACAGAAGTAACACCACCAGTCTCAGTCCACTCGACAGAAAGAGGAATTCTTACATCCGATTTATTTGATACACTCAGTACTCCTGAAGAAAAACGTACGGAACCGGATGCTTCAGTAGAGTCACTCGCATCTCTTAAAAGTTCAGCGCTTCCATTCGCCACGACCGAACCACCAGAAGGTGGCCAATCAGAAGTATCACCACCAGTCTCAGTCGACTCGACAGAAAGAGGAATTCTTACATCCGATTTAATTGAAACACGTAGTACTCCTGAACAAAAACGTACGGAACCGGATGCTTCAATAGAGTCACTCGCAACTCTTAAAAGTTCAGCGCTTCCATTCACCACGATCGAACCACCAGACGGTGGCCAATCAGAAGTATCACCACCAGTCTCAGTCCACTCGACAGAAAGAGGAATTCTTACATCCGATTTATTTGATACACTCAGTACTCCTGAAGAAAAACGTACGGAACCGGATGCTTCAGTAGAGTCACTCGCATCTCTTAAAAGTTCAGCGCTTCCATTCGCCACGACCGTACCACCAGAAGGTGGCCAATCAGAAGTATCACCACCAGTCTCAGTCGACTCGACAGAAAGAGGAATTCTTACATCCGATTTAATTAATACACTCAGTACTCCTGAAGAAAAACGTACGGAACCGGATGCTTCAGTAGAGTCACTCGCATCTCTTAAAAGTACAGCGCTTCCATTCGCCACGACCGAACCACCAGAAGGTGGCCAATCAGAAGTATCACCACCAGTCTCAGTCGACTCGACAGAAAGGGGAATTCTTACATCCGATTTAATTAATACACTCAGTACTCCTGAAGAAAAACGTACGGAACCGGATGTTTCAGTAGACTCTCCCCCATCTCCTACAATTTTAGCGCTGCCATTCACCACGACCGAACCACCAGACGGTGGCCAATCAGAAGTATCACCACCAGTCTCAGTCGACTCGACAGAAAGAGGAATTCTCACGTCCGATTTAATTCATAAACTCAGTACTCTTGAAGAAAAGCGTACGGAACCGGATGCTTCAGTAGAGTCACTCGCATCTCTTAAAAGTTCAGCGCTTCCATTCACCACGACCGAACCACCAGAAGGTGGCCAATCAGAAGTATCACCACCAGTCTCAGTCGACTCGACAGAAAGTGGAATTCTTACATCCGATTTATTTGATACACTCAGTACTCCTGAAGAAAAACGTACGGAACCGGATGCTTCAGTAGAGTCACTCGCATCTCTTAAAAGTTCAGCGCTTCCATTCGCCACGACCGTACCACCAGAAGGTGGCCAATCAGAAGTATCACCACCAGTCTCAGTCGACTCGACAGAAAGAGGAATTCTTACATCCGATTTAATTAATACACTCAGTACTCCTGAAGAAAAACGTACGGAACCGGATGCTTCAGTAGAGTCACTCGCATCTCTTAAAAGTTCAGCGCTTCCATTCGCCACGACCGAACCACCAGAAGGTGGCCAATCAGAAGTATCACCACCAGTCTCAGTCGACTCGACAGAAAGAGGAATTCTTACATCCGATTTCATTGATATACTCAGTACTCCTGAAGAAAAACGTACGGAACCGGATGCTTCAGTAGAGTCACTCGCATCTCTTAAAAGTTCAGCGCTTCCATTCGCCACGACCGAACCACCAGAAGGTGGCCAATCAGAAGTATCACCACCAGTCTCAGTCGACTCGACAGAAAGAGGAATTCTTACATCCGATTTCATTGATATACTCAGTACTCCTGAAGAAAAACGTACGGAACCGGATGCTTCAGTAGAGTCACTCGCATCTCTTAAAAGTTCAGCGCTTCCATTCGCCACGACCGAACCACCAGAAGGTGGCCAATCAGAAGTATCACCACCAGTCTCAGTCGACTCGACAGAAAGAGGAATTCTTACATCCGATTTAATTAATTTACCCACTACTTCTGAAGAAAAACATTTGGAGCCGGATCCTTCATTAGATTCATTCGCATCTCCTGAAAGTTCTGTTTTTCCATTCACTTCGATCGAACCACCAGAAGTTGGCCAAACAGGGATATCACATCTCGTATCAGTGGACTCGACAGAAGTAGGAATTCATACGTCTGATTTAATTAGTTTACTCAGTACTTCTGAAGAGAAAAGTACGGATCCGGATCATTCAGTAGATTCATTCGCATCTCCTGAAAGTTCAGTTCTTCCATTCACTTCGATCGAACCACCAGAAGATGGCCAAACAGGGATATCACATCTCGTATCAGTGGACTCGACAGAAGTAGGAATTCGTACGTCTGATTTAATTAGTTTACTCAGTACTTCTGAAGAGAAAAGTACGGAACCCGATCCTTCAATGGATTCATTCGCATCTTCTGAAAGTTCAGTTCTTCCATTCACTTCGATCGAACCACCAGAAGATGGCCAAACAGGGATATCACATCTTGTTTCAGTGGACTCGACAGAAAGAGGAATTCTTACATCCGATTTAATTGATACACTCAGTACTCCTGAAGAAAAACGTACGGAACCGGATGCTTCGGTAGACTCTCCCCCATCTCCTACAATTTCAGTGCTTCCATTCACCACGATCGAACCACCAGGAGGTGGCCAAGCAGAAGTATCACCCCAAATCTCAGTGGACTCTACAGAAAGAGGTGTTCCTACTTCCGATTTCATTAATTTACCCACTACTTCTGAAGAAAAACATTCGGAGCCGGATCCTTCATTAGATTCATTCGCATCTCCTGAAAGTTCTGTTTTTCCATTCACTTCGATCGAACCACCAGAAGTTGGCCAAACAGGGATATCACATCTCGTATCAGTGGACTCGACAGAAGTAGGAATTCATACGTCTGATTTAATTAGTTTACTCAGTACTTCTGAAGAAAAAAGTACGGATCCGGATCATTCAGTATATTCATTCGCATCTCCTGAAAGTTCAGTTCTTCCATTCACTTCGATGGAACCACCAGAAGTTGGTCAAACAGGGATATCACATCTCGTATCAGTGGACTCGACAGAAGTAGGAATTCGTACGTCTGATTTAATTAGTTTACTCAGTACTTCTGAAGAGAAAAGTACGGAACCCGATCCTTCAGTAGATTCATTCGCATCTCCTGAAAGTTCAGTTCTTCCATTCACTTCGATCGAACCACCAGAAGTTGGCCAAACAGGGATATCACATCTTGTTTCAGTGGACTCGACAGAAGTAGGAATTCATACGTCTGATTTAATTAGTTTACTCAGTACTTCTGAAGAGAAAAGTACGGATCCGGATCATTCAGTAGATTCATTCGCATCTCCTGAAAGTTCAGTTCTTCTATTCACTTCGATCGAACCACCAGAAGATGGGCAAACAGGGATATCACATCTCGTATCAATGGACTCGACAGAAGTAGGAATTCGTACGTCTGATTTAATTAGTTTACTCAGTACTTCTGAAGAGAAAAGTACGGAACCCGATCCTTCAGTAGATTCATTCGCATCTCCTGAAAGTTCAGTTCTTCCATTCACTTCGATCGAACCACCAGAAGATGGGCAAACAGGGATATCACATCTCGTATCAGTGGACTCGACAGAAATAGGAACTCGTACGTCTGATTTAATTAGTTTACTCAGTACTTCTGAAGAGAAAAGGACGGATCCGGATCATTCAGTAGATTCATTCGCATCTCCTGAAAGTTCAGTTCTTCCATTCACTTCGATTGAACCACCAGAAGAGGGCCAAACAGGGATATCACATCTTGTTTCAGTGGACTCGACAGAAGTAGGAATTCATACGTCTGATTTGATTAGTTTACTCAGTACTTCTGAAGAGAAAAGTACGGAACCCGATCCATCAGCATATACATTCGCATCTCCTGAAAGTTCAGTTCTTCCATTCACTTCGATCGAACCACCAGAAGAGGGCCAAACAGGGGTATCACAGCTTGTTTCAGTGGACTCGACAGAAGTAGGAATTCATACGTCTGATTTAATTAGTTTACTCAGTACTTCTGAAGAGAAAAGTACGGATCCGGATCATTCAGTAGATTCATTCGCATCTCCTGAAAGTTCAGTTCTTCCATTCACTTCGATTGAACCACCAGAAGAGGGCCAAACAGGGATATCACATCTTGTTTCAGTGGACTCGACAGAAGTAGGAATTCATACGTCTGATTTGATTAGTTTACTCAGTACTTCTGAAGAGAAAAGTACGGAACCCGATCCATCAGCATATACATTCGCATCTCCTGAAAGTTCAGTTCTTCCATTCACTTCGATCGAACCACCAGAAGAGGGCCAAACAGGGGTATCACAGCTTGTTTCAGTGGACTCGACAGAAGTAGGAATTCATACGTCTGATTTAATTAGTTTACTCAGTACTTCTGAAGAAAAAAGTACGGATCCGGATCATTCATTAGATTCATTCGCATCTCCTGAAAGTTCTGTTCTTCCATTCACTTCGATCGAACCAACAGAAGATGGCCAAATTGGTACCTCCGATTTAAGCGATATACTCAGTACTGCGAAAGAGAGAACTTTGGAACCGGATCCTTCTGGCCAACCTGGGGGATCACTACCAGTGAGTGGCCAGACCTGGGGGCCCGATATGATATCCGAAGACGTATCGCCAGAATTGGCAAGTACTTCGAAAGAAGGAAGTTTGGAACCGGATCCTTCTGGCCAACCTGGGGGATCACTACCAGTGAGTGGTCAGACCGGGCGGCCCGATATGAAAACTGATGAAGTATCGCCGGAATTGGCAAGTACCATCCCAACCCAGAAAACTTATGGAACAAAAAGCAGATATAAAGTTAGACCACCACTAAGGATATGTTATGATGTGAAATATAAACATAGTACGTAGCTTAATGAAATTCTTGAAAATATTTTAATTTTGAATTCATTTTCTTTTCAGAACGTACGTACATAAACAGATACTGCTTCTCGTCTTGTTCTTGTATTTTCTGTTCTGTATAATTTCAGCGCAATGTCAAAAAAAAAACAGAAGGTTCATGGTTCACAAACGTTGCAGTATCTTGTAAAATTTTAGGTTATAGTTGCGACTATATTCTGACTTGATTCGCAATTTAAATTAGTGATATTTTTGTTAAAATTAAATGATAAGTTTAAGGCAAGTCATTAACTCCATTATCAAAATACATTTTTGTCGCACAAATATGTTGGCTGTTTGTCTATGAAATACAGTACAAAATACAAATACTGGTGGAAATACACCCCCTTTCGCCCCGCAAAGGACGAAAATCTGTGGCAACAATATTGAAGATACAAGAAAATTAAAAACGCACAATCATAGAAAATTACCATATCTATCAGATTGCCGAACCTGGATCGGATCGGATTATTATTATAGCCAAAATTAAGAATTCTGTCGCTACACAGCGCCCGACGACACGCTCAGACTGATTTTCTGTCTCTCTCGCACGCACTCTTTGTCGTATCGTGCAATGTTAGCGCCGTCTGGTGGAGGAGAGCCATACTGACTAAGTATCGGGTATAAATGTAGAGTTGCGGTAGCCGCAGCAACTCACAATGTTCCCCCTCGTTATAACATATGTAGGTACATATGTATGTAAGCGCGGAGTTCGGTTTTCTTATCGCGCACAAATATCGATGCATGCACGGAGAATCAAAATTGGCGGGTATATCTAAATATGTCTAATAACTGTATGACTTAGCTTACTGACTATCTGCAAAAACAAAACCAACCTTATAGGGAAAAACATCCAGTGAGGGCTGAATATGAATCTAGTTGGCCTTTCAGTTGAGACGGAAGCAGCGTTGCGGCTTTTTTCACATCTTTTTGTAAACCCTATTTTTTCAATAGTCCAATCAAAATCAGTACTTAAAATATGCCAATCTTGTAGAAAATTGATTCATCAATGGGATAAAATTATGTGGGCATTGCTAAGAGATTTAATTGGTCAGCATTATTCAATGGAATATCTAAATTGAGCAATATGAACGAATTTCCCTTTTCGTTTGTTTTGATTAACCTATTTCGCTACTTGTTTTTTGTTTGACTTATTTCGCTAAAACCTTTTTTTAAGCAAAAACCAATAAAAGCAAGTGTCAAGTTGAGAATAGTTTAATAATTCGGATAAAATTATGTGGGCACTGCTAAATATTCTATTTAGCTGGTAATATTCCACAGAATATCAAAAACGAGGAATACGTACAACAGAACTTGACTTCGTCAGTATATTTACGGTATATTTTTAAAACGAGACGGTATGTTCAGGTATATTTCTGGGTGTCCATAAGTCCGCGGTCACACTGGCTCCGACGGCCATTAAAAAATTATTTTTTTTCATCGCAAGTTTTTCTGTATTCTGTGCAATTTTATATTTTGTTTTTCTCGCGTCGCTACAAGTATTCTAAAATGGAAACTATCATTTTGGATGGGCCCAGTGCTACACCTTTGCCGCAACGCCAGCAGAGGGGCAACAATCCGGCCAATAAAGTTATTGGCAAGCACACTGCACCGAAACAAAATGATGGCCCCGATGGCAGTCCAGCTGAAAAGAAGCCACGGTTTGGTGGCTCCAACAACCAGAATGGCGGTCCTGCCGGTGGTGGTGCCGCTGGTGGTGGCCAGAATCAAAATAAGAATTTCGGAAACAAGGGTGGATTCGGCGGCAATCGCAATCGCAATCGTGGAGGAAACCAAAATAGACAAAATTTTCAGGGTCCAAATAACGCAAATGTAAGTGAAAAACTGATCGAAAGATCCCCTATCCTTTCACATATCGTCTCTTGTATGTTCACCACACATAAAAGGGGCTTACATGCGTCTGAAAGAACAACAAACAAATGTACCGGTTCATTCTGTGCACTTTTTAGATTTGATTCTATATACACACATTCATAACATATGTACACGCCCGTACAAAACAAATTACAATGCATTGCTTATATGTCACACTTGCATGTGTACATACATAATTTAACATTTTGGCAGTTGGCGTTTGGGGAGCGGAGCTGCAAAAATAGCCCTTTGTAAAAATACCGCGTATAAATATATACTGCAACGTGTGCATGTATGCATTATAGCATTTTTGGGAATTAGCTACAAAACATACAGTACACTTTTATGTACAATCAAATTTACATAAATTATTATACACATTTTTCAATTGTTAAAACAGATGCGATACCTGGTAGTATCCATAAAAGAATGGTGTTATTTCCTAACAATCAAAAGTTCATTGAACATTGAACTTTTTTCACTTATGCACGTACGTATCTAACATGCATATGTACATATGTATGTATGTGTGTACACATGCCTGTACATATGCCGGCCTTCTGAAAATGTGTGCAGGAAGGAGAACACTCTTGGAACTTTTGTGGGTTACTTCGAAGCGATACTCTGATATTTTTGTCCCATGTTCATCTATTTGGAATGCAGATCACGGCTTAGGGCTCGCGCACACTGTAGCTGAAAGCGGAGCTGATAGCTTATTTTTCAGCTCTAAAAAAACAAACACACTGCACCGGTGCAAGTGCGCACATTGCAGACTGAGCTGAGCTGAAAGCTGAAAAAGCTCGCTGAAATCAGCTCAGCTTAGTTTGATCGATCAAGCATGTTTGTTTTTTCAGCAAGCTGATTGCTGATTTTGTTCAAGTGTATTGGTTCATAAGTGATCGAAAATGGGCTGCAAAACATTTTTAAGCGAAATTACGGTTAACCCAGCGCTGGGGTAAGCGGGACTATTAAAAATATTTGAACAATAGTTTTATTTCTATAATTTCTGGAAGGCGATAAATTGGGCAAAAAAGTTTTATTATTTACCATTACCAATGTAATGTAAAAATGTAATAATAATTCGTAAAATAAAAGTAATACGAATAAAAACTCAACGGAAATATGGTTAAAATACACGTAATTTAAAAATAAAACCAAGAGAACTTCCGTCTGGCTACTGTACGTGCTGTGAAGTAATAATTCATTAACAATATAATAATAATAATTATAATGATATCTATTGATGCCACTTAAGTAGATGGGCAAAGGGAGGCAGGGGCTTTCAGCTTTCAGCAATCAGATCAGCCGACAATGTACGCACCTGCAAGCTGATTCTGCCTGAGAAAAGCTCTCAGATCAGCTGAGCTTTCAGCTTTGATTTCAGCTCCGCTTTCAGCTCCGCTTTCAGCTACAGTGTGCGCGAGCCCTTAGAGTGGCTTTCGATCGCTGAAATTGTTGTTATCGGAGGGGGTGAAGTTTCGCAGACTTAACCACTGGCATAACGGAACTGCTGAAGCCTGACACCATGTGTCCCCGGTGTCATTCACATATGTACATTGTGTTTATTTATTATTACGAGTTTTTGTGAGATCAAGTCGGGCAATGCAACACCGATGCGAATGCTGCTGCTGGCAGGCTAGCTAACGGCATTCTGTCGAATGTTTTGCTGAAACTCGGGGGTGGGGTGAACGCACGTTGATTTCGGCTTGCCGAAAGTTGTATACCCTTTGCGGAACCCAATAGCTGTATGATATTAGACTTTGCTAAATATGCTGCTAAAAGAGAGAGAGAGATAGACAAAATGCATAATTAGTGTTCGTAGCCGTCTCTAAACCCGTCTCCCGGCTATCAGTCGACGAAATTACTTTTACCAACACACACTGCCAGCTAGCCAGCAAAATTGGTTCTGAAAGTTGCAACAATCGATCATCTTTCCAGCTCAACTGGAAAGCCAACTGGACGTATATCTCTCGCTCTCACTTCGTGCTTTTACCAGTTCTTGCTGTAGCAAAGTCTAAAGTCATGCATCATCAAAATATGTTTATCTTGGAAATATTTGATGTAAATCGAGCGATCGTTGCCATGTAAACGATAACGGCACCCGTATCGAATGTAATGTAATCATTTACAGTTTTCCTTTGAAAACCTTTAAAACATGCTATTTTCTTGGACAAATTGAATTACTCGAATGATGTGCCGTAAATATGGTAAATTTTTGCAAAATGTGTGCTACTCCTTTTTGAAAGGGTGTAAAAAATAATTATTTTTGGATGGGTTTAAACGCCATTTCGTTTTTAGGGATGGGTTCTTATGGTGGTGGCGAGGGGTACTCAGGCATAATAATTTAGTATAATATTCTATTCCCCATACACATACATAGTACTAGTATATGCACATCCATGAATGGGCTCCATTTCTGCAGTGCCAGTGCCAGTTCCAGTTCCCCTCCAGAGAGGGGCCTAGACACACTGCACTGCACTGCGGATTGGATGGCCCAGACATATCCGTGCAGTGCATATCTTCCACATCCAATTCATCATTCTTCTTATACTGATATATATATAATACAAATATAGCAAAAGTCTACCACTAATGAAGCAGTGAAGCCGGACGCCGGAAATGTCGCTGAGAAAGTTAATGAATCTGTGGCTGTAATTCAGCAGCCAGCTCCCAATGCAAACCAAGGTCCAGGGCAGGGTCAAGGACAAGGGCAAGGTGGTTTCCGCGGTGGTCCGCGCGGCGGCGGAGGAGGAGGCGTTGGCAATAACCAAGGAGGTGGCGGCGGCGGCAATCATCCGGGAGGTGGCGGTGGCGGCAATCATCCAGGAGGCGGTAACAATCATCTAGGAGGCGGTGGCCATCATCCAGGAGGCGGTGGCAATCACCAGGGAGGCGGCGGCGGTGGCCAGCAACAGCAGCGTGATCGCGGTAATCGCGGTGGCGGCGGTCAACGATCGGGCGGTGGCCAAGGCGGACCCAACATGAGCATGATGGGCGGCGGTGGTGGCGGTCCCCGCGGAGGCGGTGGCGGCGGCGGCGGTGATGATTTCTTTATTGGCCAACGTCTGCGGGCTATAGCTGGACCCACACTGGAGCTGCCACCCGTAGAGGTGCCCGAGGAGACGAAATTCTCTGGACGCAATCGCCTGTATGTGGGCAATCTTACCGGCGACATCACCGACAACGAGCTGCGCGAAATGTTCAAACCATTCGGGGAGATTGGCGAAATCTTCTCCAACATTGAGAAGAACTTTACATTCCTTAAGGTCGATTATCATGTGAATGCCGAGAAAGCCAAGCGCGCCCTGGACGGTTCACTGCGCAAGGGACGCCAGCTACGCGTCCGTTTCGCGCCCAATGCAACCATCTTGCGCGTGAGCAATCTCACACCGTTCGTGTCCAACGAGTTGCTGTACAAATCTTTCGAGATATTCGGTCCCCTCGAACGGGCCAGCATAACTGTTGACGATCGCGGCAAGCATACGGGCGAGGGTATCGTCGAGTTTGCCAAGAAGTCGTCAGCCAGCGCCTGTCTGCGTTTGTGCAATGAGAAGTGCTTCTTTTTGACGGCCTCACTGCGGCCCTGCCTGGTGGAGCCCATGGAGGTGAATGACGACAACGATGGTCTGCCCGAGAAGGCCCTCAACAAGAAGCTGCAGGACTTCAATCAGGAGCGTAGCGTTGGGCCACGCTTTGCCGATCTCAATTCGTTTGAGCACGAGTACGGCTCCCGTTGGAAGCAGCTGCACGATCTGTACAAGAGCAAGCAGGACGCCCTTAAGCGCGAGCTCAAAATGGAAGAAGACAAGCTAGAAGCTCAGATGGAGTACGCTCGGTATGAGCAAGAGACTGAGCTCCTGCGTCAAGGTCAGTATTTTTACGGTCGGGAGGGGGCGGATTAACACCAAAAATCTTCCCACAAATACGTTGATCTTGTCCCCCATATTCTCCAATATCATTCTATTGTATATCATGGCCTCAATTTTTCGTCTGCCCCGTGCGTGGCGTGGATGCCTCGCATTAGCAGCAAATCTAACAAATCTTTTTGTCATCCAATCTGCCTGTTTCTCTCTCACTTTTGATTGTCTAACAAAAAAGTATTTTGTTTCTATTTGGACTATAACGATACTTTGGTTTAACTTCTCTAAATATAGGAGGACTATGATGGGGAGGGAGTGTATTACAGAACATACATATCAATTCTCTATCCAGGGGTCTGGGAAATAGCATTTAGAATTTTCTAACATTATTTAACAGTACAGTTCCATTACCAACACATTCCATATTGGCACACTGATGTTGATTCCACTGTTCCGCTCTGCCACTGTTATCGAAATATGGCGTTAACGCAGTAACGCAGAATGATCGCGTTTACGCGTTTACAAAACAGCGGAGATGCCAAATATATGGAAAGCAAACTAATTTTAGAAATCAACCAAATTTATTGGTTGAAATTGTATTCTCAATGTTTTATTTGATAGCGGAATTCCTTTAAATTTTTTGCCATTTTCAAAAACCATATATCCAGCAGTGCCGCCTGTATGGTCATACGATTGGTTAAAATTAGTTTCAAGGAATTTTGTAACTGTTTTTAACACCTCAATATTTTGTTTGTTGATTTTTCTAGAGGTGAAAAGGGCAAAAATATTCTGAAAATCGTTTAGAGAAAATCAACGTCATTAATTCAGGGGTATTTTCGATAGGAAGGATTGATAGCTGCTGAAATTTTGAATTTATCTAAGATCTAAGCAAATGTTTCTTCTATTGTGGGGTGGGCCATCCATTACAAAAAAAAAAAAGAGAGGCTGTTATGGCTTGTGGGAAGATGCTCCGAAAGATATTGTGTTGTCGTCCTTTGAGGTTTCATTCTGATAAAAACTAAAGAGTTATACTTCGTTAGGAGGCAATGATCGTGGCAGATCATGGCCGTTATGTTTATATACTTTTGTCCTAATAGTTGTGCGTATATTTCCTTTAGAGCTGAGAAAGCGAGAAGTGGACAACGAACGGAAGAAGATGGAGTGGGAAATGCGCGAGAAGCAGGCCGAGGATATGCGCAAGCGCGATGAGGATACTATGCGTCGCCATCAGAGCGAAATGCAGACACGCATGGTGCGTCAGGAGGAGGATATGCGTCGTCGCCAGCAGGAGAACACGTTGTTCATACAGGCACAGCAGCTAAACTCGCTGCTCGATCAGCAGGAGGGCTGCGGCGGTGGCGGTGGAAACAACTCTAGCTTTGACAATTTCGGAGGCAGCAGTTCTCCCTTTGAAGTTTTTAGAGGTAAACACAGAAAAGGAAATACAATGATTGGTTAAATTTGAATTTGCTATAACATTTCCGTTCTGTTTAGGCAACAATAACAATTCAACCATGACTGGAAATAACTCTGGTCCCGGCGGACCCAACAAACAGGTATGTACAGGGCTCTCTCAACCACCAGAGGCTTATCTCAGCCCGGCCAAATGGCCTATGGCAAAGATTTTGTTCTTGCCCAACGCTTTTCTCTGAAACAACCAGCGGGGGTCATATGGTTTATTCAGATTTAGCACAGTGGCAGGAACATCGTACTTTATTCTTGGGCAGAATATTTCGAAATGTCTGGGGTATGCCATGAGTGTAGTAAACTCTCGAGAAACTTCTGCGTTGGGCGTAAGAAACGAACTAGATTTTCATATTAATTTCATTTTAAAATATCTGGCGGCTAAGTCTTAAGTATTTGCTGCGTAAACATGTGTATGTACAATGTACACACATCCCCTGGGATACTATATTAATGGGAGCAAAGAAATTTCGGCCTTATTGCTCTGGGACACTTGTGGGGGGGGTGTGTGGAATCCATGTATGGACATGGACATTGGTTTGCTCACGTTTGAGCACACATTTTTTGTTCGTTTTATTTCTAAAGAATTTTCATTTCTATTTCGTATATGTTTTCATTTTGTATAGAAAATAATGCCTATTGTACTCATTTTGTACTTTACTGGGAGGTAGAATTTTCTTGACCTTCAATGAAAATTGAATAATTGATCGTTGATCATATGGCTCGGTGGGTCGCCGGATCATAAAGGGGCAAGGGGTAGAGGCTTTTGGGGACTGGGCTTATATGTGGCTAAAGTAACAACTCAATTGAACAATTATATTTCCTTGCTCGAATAGGACTCCTTCGCATTTGAATTTGGGGTTAACAATATGAACCAAGGCGGCAATCAGCGCGGAAATAATGGCGGAGGAAATAATGTCCCATGGGGACGTCGTCGTTTTTAAGACAAAAACACAACTGGATTAATCATATATATGCACACACACAAACACACACATAAACATAAAATGCGGATGATATAGTTAAACACTTAGTCTTGACATTTTCCCTCCTGTCGCGAGTGAAATATTCGAAACATTAAAACATTAATTTTGTCTGTTGACAGAAAAAAAAAAATAAGCCAGCGTCTTTTATCTTTAGTAAACTGAAATGCTTAGATTTAATACTGTCACACGATCCCCAACAAAAAATAATAAAATAATCAAAACGTCGATCGATCGGATTGATAACCAAGGAAGCCAAGCGAAACGATGAAGAAACGCATGCAAGAAATGCCCCGCGTGCAGCGTGAGAAAAGGGAGAAACAGATGCATTGAAAGATAATTCCCATCCCATTTTAACCATTATGTACATCTATTTAATCATATGATAATTTTAGAGATATATAGTGACTATATTCTGCAGTATGTCTACCTTTCTTATTTTTTTTTTGTCTATCATTCGATTCAAATATATAAAGATATATAATAATTCGACTATTGAATTTCAAGATGTCTGTCTACCAACTGATATGATAATTCCATACCAAACAAGAAATGTTCAAGCACATGGAATGTGAATGGTGGGTGAGTATACCTGTGTTCTGGGAGTGCTGTGCTGCTGCAGCAAATATTCTTTGTACGAATGCTTCGAGAAAAACGTTCCGACTGGTTTTTCCTCCTAGTATAATCTTAATTAGTATTTTGTATACATATGTATGGACATTTCCACCAAGACCAAATAAAATCACAATTCCATATAAGTCTGTACCGATATTATTCCTGAAATTGATTGAAACTGATTCTAAACCCATCAATTTAACCAGTCAAACGCAAAAGCGAAAAGTGCTCGAAAGAATTCTTCATGGGCAAAAACAAACTACATCTCGTGTACATGACGAGTCATAATTATGTTTCTTACATATCAAACTATCAAAAAAAAAAGTCTAGGAAAATGAGCCACAAAAATTATATACTTTTTAACGCGCCTGATTGGAAATGTCCATATGTATGGCGTATGCCGATTTTTATCTACGGGTTTTTGGGTGCTATTTGCAAGCTTACATAAGACTTCTTAAAAATTTATAAAATATAATTTCATAAAAGGATAAAGGGCTTTGTACAGCTAAATATAGTTTAAAGATCTGTACGACTGACTGCCTTCGGCTATCAATACTTTTGAGAATTTAAAGCTTACTTTTATTTATGGGCTCTTGTATTTGGGGGAACAACTTTTTATTGATGCTTTTTGGGGACTGAACTTATCCTAAAAGAAAGTTCACTCTAAATTCTCTGTAAAAAGCAACTGCTTCAAGATTTATTCTTCGACCAGCGACGCCCAACAGACGCGCATAAGCGAAAAGTGCAAAAGGGAATGGCCGAAAATCCAAAAACAAAATACACCTCGTGTGCATGAGGAGGCACATTTGATGTTTGACTTGAGACTGGGAGACGGAGCCTTTCTGTTCCTTTGAACTACTCGCAAATTCTCAATCAAAATTCTCTGTATAAAAGAAATTGTGGGGTGGGCTGTAAATGTATCTCAGAGATGCCAGATCAGTCAAGAAAAATATTCATATCTACGTAGATGCTTTTTAAAAATGTCTGCCAACGAAATAACGAAATTAATTCAAAGGAAAATGATTGATTGGGTATGCAAATGCCATTGGGAAATCGATGATGACACCAAGGATTGAAAATGGGAAATTCTCTTTGCTGATTTATTCATGAGAAAAAAAAAATGCTCTTCGTGGAGAGGAGGACGTTACGCGTATCCATCGACGGCGAGTGGGAAAAGGTAATGCCCAGCCCTTGTGACAATGTCAATACAATTAACAAAAAACATTCCCAACAGCTAAATGAAAATAATTATTTTTTCCCCCCATTAACGCTTTCTTTTCCAGGTGTTTTTTTGTTTTTGTTTTTTAGTGAAGAACTTGAAGAATTGCAAAGCAAACAATTTTGCATGCAAAAAATGTGCTTAAGAACGGTACACATTTTCACACCACATTTTATGGTTTCTAATTGATCCTGTACGCTTGTTACTATTACGATAATTATTTTGAAAGTCGGGCCAAAAAGTGGAATGAGTAGCAAAACGATGTAAAGGAGGTTGTCTTCAAGAACTGAACTAGCTGAAAATGATTTTTAAAAAAAGTCTATCGGTTGGAATATAAGGGGTTATCTCTTCAGCGTCCGTCTTACCATCAGCAGTGGTCGGAACGGCCCTATCTGGTGAGGCAAGCAGGCTGCGTGCCTCAACAAAACGGAAGAAATGTTATTGCATTGGTGACACGACCACTAAATCTATTATCTACTTTGAAGATCTGCAAAGTTTTTGTTCAACAAATAAACTATCTGTATATCAACGTATATCACTCCCACACTCACTATCTGGCATAATTGTTAAGTGTTATTTTCGATTAACTTGTATTGATTATAAATTGAATCTAGTAATGGTTGAAGCCACTCCAGAATCCCAAGAAATCCCTGCTTAACTGTTTTGATTGTATGCTGAATGCATATGGAATCAACGAATCCAATTGACGGCTTCTTTTGGGCTTCTTCAATTGGTTTCGACTCCAAAAATATTTGTATTTGTACCATTGCATGAGTCCCTCGATTCAGAGTCGCATGTTTTGGCAGAAGATCGATCACATTGCCCATTTTGATAGTATTAGAATTTATGTATTTGAATTTTTGCTTAAACTGTGTCTTGGCTCTGGCTCTGATCCAGATCAGATCTGATCATCACGCAATCCCTCCAACAATCTTTCCCCCTAACAATGTTTGGAATCATATGTTTTTGGTTTGAATGAAGTCGAAATTTTTGAAAGGAACGAGAGGCAGTACCCGAAACTAAAGATCATTTTACGGGTACTATATTATATATTATATGAGTATGCTGTGTCTTCGACTTCGGGCGAGAGACTTGGAACAAGGCGGCGTATGGTACGCCTTTGATGGGCTTCGCGAACCACAAGATCTGTATGATATGAACGAACGAACATTCATTTAATGGATGATGCGTGTTTCCCGAATAGAATTGCATATTGGATTTGGGGTACCCTGAGCGCCAGCGCTCCTTCTTAAGAACCGAACCGCAGTCTCTGTTGTCTGTTGGTCAGCAAAATGCTTAATTATATCAGGTAATCTATGTTTATAATGTACTGGCAGCTCTATGCTTTAGAGTGCTGCTTCTTAAAAATTACACCCAATTGTTTCATCGCCCGAATAACGTTTTTCAGTGCCGATATTTTCCGTTATTTTGCGGCCAATCCCATTCCAATGAGCGCTGCCACTTTTGTAGCCTGACATCAAAAGACGCCTTGACTAATCCGCTTTATGTTTGCAGGAGAACCAACGAATTCGACACCATCATCATCCCTATGGGTCCATCCCAGACGTTACCGGACGGCATCATTTACCTTGGGTATTGGATGAAGTGGCGGCCTATCTATTTTGGAATACATTTGATAAACATTTTTACGACAGCTGCAAGATGAAAATGTCAATTGCATCGCCTTGTTTCATTAAAGAACTGATTAGATACTTGACAAAGACAAAAAAACTGTGCGTGTTTGTGTATTTATTTGATAATTGGTAGCATTAAGTACTTTTGTTGGATCCACGTCTAGGGAACGTCCGTGTTCCCATCATCGCTCTCACATGACGCGGCATATTAATGCTGGACACGATACGCACATGGGAATGCTGCCAAAGAGAATGCCCTCGAATAGAAACCAAATAACAACATGCATTGCGTGTGCTCGATCCTTGACTAGCGTTTCGCTGATAAAGGGCATGCCGTAGGTGTAGATATGGATAGGTATGTACTTACAGTCCTGCTCAGTTTAATTTATTTATTGGTAACAATAATACCAGCAACGTACATATATCTATTATTACCATAAAAAGAAGAACCTATAAAATGACTTTCAATCGATTCCGATAGTCACACGCCTGTTTCCATCTCTTTGGAAATCTAACGATTCGACTTGGAAAGACGACTTTGTGCAATTAAGGCCACTGCAAACATGACCACTCTCGAACAGTTTGTCCAATAGAAGAAAGAGTACTATTCCTGAAAAGGTTCCAACAACAATTACCGCACGATGCACTTGGCCACAGCATAGTTCTTCAAACTGGAAAGGTGAGGGGTGAGGGGTGGGTACTAAAATGGTAACTGAAAGTGACAAGCGATCGATGTTCAATTATGCATTCAACGACACATGATATAATATTATAGCATGATATAATTATAAATATTTCTTTGGTTTCTTTGCGCCATAATGGTATCTAGTTTAGTGGGTATCGTATATCGGTATATGAACATTCCAATAAGCCGAATATGGTTTGAGAAAATAACTTCAATTTTATTGCACCCAACGCACAGTCCACATACTCTCTAAAAAGCATCTTGTAAACGATCCATACTAAATTTTGAGTGCATTAAATGAAAGACTTCGTGAACTGATGAACCAGCTTTTCCACTAATATTCATTGAAGTATACATATCCGATTGAAACTAAATGAGAAAGCGGTCCTAGCCTTATATACTGTACGGTATTGTATTGAAAATCGAGAGTGGTGCCAAAATAATTGCTATTCTATCAACGTACTTTTATTTTGATGGTGAGAAACTGTCGTTTGACCACTTTGTCCGTGGTTCGTCTTTTTTTGTGGGTCTATTTGTCAGTTGGCGACCCGTTTGGCAGCATGACCACGAAATAGTTATCTGTGATAAGGCGTTTTTGGCCAATAAATTTATTGGCAATTTGTTCCGTGTAAAAAAAATGTGCAACTGTCATAATAATAAAGAAAACTCTGCAGTGCCCGGAACCCCCACAGCACAGACATACATATACCCGTCACGGTGTTGCCAAGAAAAAGGCTTGGAAAAATAAATAAGAGAAGTGCCAGCAGCTATAAAAGGCAATTAAGGCCGTTGATCCAGATCAAGAATTACCATAATCTGATACTGGGAAAAGCTTTCCAGCTAAGCTTAGCTCAGCTCAGCTCTCTCTCTTGCTTGCTCGCTCTCTCGCTCTTACTCTCTCTCTCTAGCTGTCGCATACACCTACATGAATACAATATACCCTTGAACTCTACGCAGAGTGCCGGGAATAAAAAAACAACATCTGCACAGCTTCCCCCTCCACTCTGATTATGCACATACATACACAAATACATACGTACGTACATACATATATGTTTGCTTAAATTAGTTCAGTGTGGAAAAAGTGATATATGCCAATACATACATACATATGTACATACAGGTACAATATGTACGAGTACTCGTACATACTCATAGTAGACCCGGCACAAAAATATTGCTCTTGGCGTGCTTTGAGCCACTGACCGCACAGGGTAAGCCGGCACCCGTCTGCCGATGCAGTGTATGCAATAAGATATGTAATAAGATATGTGTCTGTCTGCAAACAGCACAACAAGCAGACCAGTGTT